CCAAATAAGACATACAAATGACTAACAGACACATGAAAAAATGTTCATCATCATTAGCCATCAGGCAGATTCAAACCACATGGAGATACCAGCTTACACGAGTTAGAACGGCCAAAATTAACAAGACAGTAAACAACAAGTGTTGAAGAGGATGTGGAGAAAGGGGAAACCTCTTACATTGTTGGTGGGAATGCAAGTTGGTGCACCCACTTGGAAAAATGTGGAGATTCCTTAAGAAATTAAAAATAGAGCTACCCTATGACCCTGCAATTGCACTACTGGGTATTTACCCCAAAGATACAGATGTAGAGAAAAAAAGGGCCATCTGTACCCCAATATTCATAGCAGCAGTGGCCACAGTCACCAAACTCTGGAAAGAGCCAAGATGCCCTTCAACAGGCGAATAGATTAAGAAGATATGGTCCATATATACAATGGAATATTATGCCTCCATCAGAAAGAAAGAATACCCAACTATTGTATCAACATGGATGGGACTGGAGGAGATAATGCTGAGTGAAATAAGTCAAGCAGAGAGAGTCAAATATCGTACAGTTTCACTTACTTGTGGAGCATAAGGAATAACATGGAGGACATTGGGAGAAGGAGGGGAGAAGTGAGTTGGGGGAAATCAGAGGGGGACACAAATCATGAGAGACTGTGGACTCTGAGAAACAAACTGAGGGTTTTGGAGGGAAGGAGTGTGGGAGGTTGGGTGAGCCTGATGGTGGCTATTAAGGAGGGCATGTATTGCATGGAGCACTGGGTGTGGTGCATAAACAATGAATCTTGGAACACTGAAAAAATAAAATTAAGGACATAAATTTCAGACTTGAAACCATAAAAACTCTGGAAGAAAGAACAGGTAGTAATTTCTCTGACATTGGCCCTAGCAATATTTTTCTAGTTATGTCTCCTAAGGCAAGGGAAATAAAAGCAAAAATAAACTATTGGGACTATATCAAAATTAAAAGCTTCTGCATAGCAAAGGAAACAACAAAACCAAAATGCAGCCTATTGAATGGGGTAAAATATTTGTAAATGACGTAACTGATAAAGGGTTAGTATCCAAAATATATAAAGAACTCACAAAGGTCAACACCAAAAAAATCTAAATAATCCAATTAAAAAATGGGCAGAGGACATGAACAGATAGTTCTCCCAAGAAGACACACTGACACATGAAAAGATTCTCAACATCTTTCATCATTAGGGAAATGCAAACCAAAACCACACTGAAATGCCACCTCACACCCATCAGAATCCAGAGGGAAGGTTGGTGGGGGGAATGGTTGAAATGGTGAAGGGGATTAAGAGTACATGAAAATGATGTAATATACAAAATTGTTGAATCCCTATATTGTACTAATCCCTATACTGAAACTAATATAATACTTTATGTTAATTTAACAAATACTGGAGATGGGGAGGTAGGTGACAGTGTAAACAAGGTTCGTCACAAACTAGTAATTTTTAAAGCTGGGTATTGGGTATATATGAGTTCATTATAAGATTCTATGGAATTTTCCATTTGGAATTCTCAGTAACAAAATTTTAACAAGATCATTAAAAAATGATGCAGAGAGGGGAGAGGGTATTATAGAAGGAAGTAATACTTTTTGAGCACCTACATGTCAAGTTTTATGCGGACATTTTTTTTAATACTGTAATTTTTTTTTCAGTGTTCCAAGTTCATTGTTTATGCACCACACCCAGTGCTCCATGCAATACGTGCCCTCCTTAATACCCACCACCAGGCTCACCCAAGCCCCCACCCCCCTCGCCTCCAAAGCCCTCAGTTTGTTTCTCAGAGTCCACAGTCTCTCATGGTTCATCTCCCCCTCCGATTTCCCCCAACTCACTTCTCCCCTCCTTCTCCCAATGTCCTCCATGTTATTCCTTATGCCCCACAAGTAAGTGAAACCATATGATAATTGACTCTCTCTGCTTGACTTATTTCACTTAGCATAATCTCCTCCAGTCCCGTCCATGTTGATACAAAAGTTGGGTATTTGTTCTTTCTGATGGAGGCATAATATTCCATTGTATATATGGACCATGTCTTCTTAATCTATTTGTCTGTTGAAGGGCATCTTGGCTCTTTCCACAGTTCGGCAACTGTGGCCATTGCTGCTATGAACATTGGGGTACAAATGGCCCTTCTTTTCACTACATGAGGATTTTTATTACCAAATCATAGGTTAAGAAACTAAGGTTCAGAGAATTAAGAGGATATACTACAAGTCCCATGGAGGCCATGTTGTAGAAAATGTACCAGTGTCCTTTTCAAGATCCCCATCTTCTTCCTTCCCTTGCTAAGTCTCTAGGAGACATTGTAGTGAACAAAGGAAATGAAAGCAGAGGTCTGGAATATCTAGTGACTATCATCTAGAGCTCTTTAGGTTTCTCAATCTAATACCTACCCACCAAGGTGTGACATGCAAAGTAGCCACGTTTGTGGAGAAACTGACCCATCTACCATGTTTATTTAAGATTTCAACCCATTTCTTTCAAATACTGATGGGTAAAGCATCTTAAAATGCACAAATAAATAGATTTTTAACAAGAGAATGATTTAAAGAACACCAGTTGATCATTGTACCAAACAATTAGAGAAGTCATGTTTTTCTAAAATGTTCAAAGAACATTTATAAAAATTGACCACACACTAGGCATAAATCACGTCTTAGAACATGTCAAAGCACTAATATCAACTACTCTCTCAGTGTACTAATATCTTATCTATACTTCTATATCTTATTACTTTAGTATTTATTATTTAGTACTTACTAATATCTTATTATGTTTCAGAGCACCATGCAATTAAGATGGAAAGGACAATAGAACAGGGAGCGTGGACATAGACCTTCAGACATATGGAAACTTAGTATGACAAAGATGGCATTGTACCTCCATGGGGAAAGGTGGGACTAGTCAATTAATCATGCAGGACATTTATCCATATGGTAGAAAATTTAATTGGATTTCTAGCTACTTCATTATAGTATGAAAACACAAAAATCAATTCCAGATAGGTCTAAGGTTTAAATATAAAAGGCAAAAACTTTAGCAGTTTTAGAAGAAAATACAGGAGGATATCATATGATCTTAGGATGAATATTTCTTTAAAAGATTTTAAAAGCAACACTCAATTTATAAATTCAAATACATTAAACTTAAGAATTTCTATTCATTTCTATTCAGTGTTCTAGGAAGAACACTGCAAAGTCAAGTTACAATGTACAAGAAGGTGTCTGCAACATATGTAACTGACAAAGGAATGGTATCTAGAATACATTAAAAAAAAAGCTACCGAATGACCCAGAAATTGCACTACTGGGTATTTACCCTAAAGATACAAATGTAGTGATCTGAAGGGGCACGTGCACATGAATGTTTATAGCAGCAATGTCCACAATAGCCAAAATATGGAAAGAACCTAGAAGTCCATCAACAGATGAATGGATAAATAAGATGTGGTATATATATATACAATGAAATACTATGCAGCCATCAAAAGAAATGAAATCTTGCCATTTGCCACAACATGGATGGAACTAGAGAGTATTATGCTTAGCAAAATAAGTCAATCAGAGAAAGACAATTATCATATGATCTCCCTGATATGAGGAATTTGAGAGGTAGGGTGGGGGGTTGTGGGGGGTAGGGAAGGAAAAAAATGAGACAAGATGGGATAGGGAGGGAGACAAACTATAAGAGAATCTTAATCTCACAAAACAAACTGAGGGTTGCTGGGGGGAAGGATGTGGAGAGGAAGGCTGGGGGATGGACACTGGGGAGGGTATGTGTTATGGTGAGTGCTGTGAAGTGTGTAAGACTGATGATTCACAGACCTGCACCCCTGGGGCAAAGAATACATTATATGTTAATAAAAATAATATTTCAAAAAGAAAAAAAAATCTACAAATAAATAAGAAGACCATCAACCCAATAGGAAAATAGGAAAAAAGTGTCAACAGGCCTAGAGAAAGAATGATATGAATGGTGAATAAACATATTAAAAGGAGCTCAACACTTAGTATTTTATACCTACTAAATTGATGAAAATTAAGAATTTCCTCTGTGGTAAGTATTGGTGAGAAGGTGGATCAATATTCCCCTTAGAAATGGGTGGGAAGGGGGCGCCTGGGTGGCTCAGTGGGTTAAAGCCTCTGCCTTCGGCTCAGGTCATGATCTCAGGGTCCTGGGATCGAGCCCCACATCGGGCTCTCTGCTCAGCAGGAGCCTGCTTCCTCCTCTCTCTCTGCCTGCCTCTCTGCCTACTTGTGATCTTTGTCAAATAAATAAAATCTTAAAAAAAAAAAAAAAACAAAGAAATGGGTGGGAAGGGTGTAAATTGGTATAACAACCTGGAAAATCAGGTTGGCACTTTTCTTATAAATTTGCCTTCTCTACATAATTTGCATCTCCCTTCCCTTAAGTATCTCCTAGACAAATTCTTGGACATAGTCATAGAAGAGATTAGTAAGAATATTTATAGCAATAGTGTTTATAAGTGCAAAAAATTCAGAGCCCTATATGAATAAAAAATGTGCACAGGGGACCTTTATTTTTAGTCATCTAGTTGAGATAGAAAGCACAGATAACAAATAGCTAGAGAGAGGTTATCGAGTTTCAGGACAGTTTCTCGATATGTTATAGTTATTTCATATTTGAGACCAGAGGTCTGTCAGACAGTGCTTGCTATCCTCCAGGCTGCCTTGTACATAAGAGGCTATTAAATAACGGTGTGTTACATTGAAATGAGTTCCAAGACTCTAGATTCAAAGGTATGAAACAGATTGAAAAGCTCCAGTAACTTCTGAATCACCTACTAATATTAGGTGATTCAGACTACTAACTGTCTATGTTAGATCACAAGCTGACTTTTCATCCAGTCTCTAAGTCTCTGAAAAGGTGGCCCTCTGACCATATTTAACAAAGCATTGGAAAATGCGTTGCATATCAGTAGGGATGACCAATGAGGTAAAATGACTTACCTTGACTCTTTTTCACTTATGTCCACATTATCATAGATAATAGCTTCCTGAGACCTAAGTTCTGGGTTCAAGACAGGACCAAAATAGTCATTAGGTGTGGTTTATACAATCCCTTACTTCACAAATTATCCACAAAATCCAATTATCCAGGTGTATCCCCACAACTGTTTTATCAAAATCTTATCATAGAATGCAGATAGGCTGGAAGAATCAAAGAACAAAAACAATCTCCATTTGAGAAGAAATTTAAATGAGAGATTAAAAAACAGTAGCATGCCCTAATATCTCAAACACAGACATATATTTATATCAATTTAATTTCATGCAGATTTTCAGAAAATATGCATTGCTGAAAGGATCATTTTTAGAGTTGGTTCCCATCATCCTGAGCTGGACAAAGATATTCTACTTCTGGAATAGTAAGAGGGCTTTTCCTAATTCCTGGGAAAAAGACAGTTTAAGTAGAATATTCATGTAGATTTTTCTTCCATTATTTTTCTTTCAAACCATAGGCAACTGCTCTTCTATAATAATCTTGCATAAAATTGAATTTTAGTGCATAATCACAATTAGACATTTTCTGTTTAGGATATTCACATTCCTGGGGCTCGGCAAAGAATTCCATAATTTTTTTTAAACAGGTGGGGGTGGGACAGAGGGTGAGGGAGAGAGAGAGAATCTTAAGCAGGTTCCATGTCCAATTGTGGAGCCCAACACAAAGCTCTATCTCACAACCCTGAGATCATGATCTGAGCTGAAATCAAGAGTCAGACATTTAACTAAGCTACCCAGTGCCCCAGAATCCATAATGTTTATTTAAGTGATTCACCACTTGAGTCTGAGAACTTCTTGTATAATTATTCATAATTCATATTTGATTATTCATAAATTTGGGTGGCAGTACAATGCATACCTGTTCTTTTTTTGTTTTTTATTAACACATAATGTATTATTAGCCCCAGAGGTACAGGTCTGTGAATTGCCAGGTTTACACACTTCACAGCACTCACCATAGCACATACCTTCCCCAATGTCCATAACCCCACCATCCTCTCCCTACCTCCCCTCCCCCCGGCAACCCTCATTTGTTTTGTGAGATTAAGAGTCCCTTATGGTTTGTCTCCCTCCTGATCCCATCTTGTTTCATTTATTCTTTTCCTACCCCTCAACCCCCCACGATGCCTCTCAACTTCCTCATATCAGGGAGATCATATAATTGTCTTTCTCTGATTGACTTATTTTGCTAAGCATAATACCCTCTAGTTCAATCCATGTTGTGGCAAACGGCAAGATTTCATTTCTTTTGATGGCTGCATAGTATTCCATTGTATATATATATACCATATCTTCTTTATCCATTCATCTGTTGATGGACATCTAAGTTCTTTCCATAGTTTGGCTATTGTGGACATTAATGCATACCTGTTCTAAGTTGGCTTTTTAGATTTTTATTTGGACCAAGGGAATTTTGGGAGACCTGTGATTTTACCAGGTTTATTTATATAACCTTCATTTGTTTAGTATAGCCAACTGATATTTCTGAAATATAATATACATTTATTTGAATTGCCTAATCAGAGAGAACTCAAAGTACCATCATGACTAAAGATCAAAAACAAAAACCGAGAAACAACTCAGCCCTCTTTTATTGACAGATTCAACTTACTGAACATGCATTGAGATCATACTGTATATCAGGCAATATGCTAATTTGTGCACTACTGTTTTCATATTGAAGCAAAGAATATTCCAATGACCCATTCTTGATGTAATTAGTATGTGTACTGCAATGTGATCCTGCCCAGCTTATTATGTCTTAATTAGGGTGATTTGGCTGTCAATTCCTTCAAGAAGCTATGTGGTATACTGTAAAATGCACAAAATTTGTAATCAGAGAGATTTGGGTACAAATCTCATATCACTAAAGTATGGATGTGGGTCTAAGCCTCCCTGAAAAGATTATACCTATTTTTCTGGGATTTTAAGAGGCCTGGTATACAGTAGTTATTTAAGAAACGTTACTCGTTACTCATCTTCCTCAAAGTAAGTAATAAGGTTGTGTAAAACATCTTTGATTTTTATGTATCAATTTTTCATTAAATGTAGAATGAAGGAAGAATGACTCCTTCTCTCTCCTTGCCCCTGAATATGCTAATGCTGCATAGTTTTGTACCAGCAATTACTGAACGTCACTTACCTAAATCAGGCAGCGAAATTGAAAATGCACTGTAGATTGACAAAAGACATAAAAGAGTTACAGAAAAAAACCAGGTTCAGAGAGATTAGTTGATCCATCTCAAATAACCTATTGATGACCAGGTTTCTTGATGCAGGTGTGTCTAGGCAAAGTTGTGAAGCAAAACTTCCCTACAGCTTTATTCTGATTAACCTTCCCCTCGATTCCAAACCACCATTTAAAAATGAGCTTATGTATCCCCAGGACCACCCATTATCTGCTCCCCTTTCCTAACTAGACAACCTCAGGCTCTGCCTTTGTCCATCCACAAGATCCTGTTTCTGCCTTCTAACCTTTCCAGATGCCTACCAAATACAGTCATGCCTCATTTTATTGTACTTGGTTGTACAGCACTTCATACATAAACTGTGGTTTGTATAAATGGAAGGGTTATGACAACCCTACATCAAGCTAATCTATCAGCACTATTTTTCCAACAGCATTTTCTTACTTTGTGTCTCTGTTATGTTTTGGTAATTCTCACAATATTTCAAACATTTTCACTTTTATTATATTTGTTATGGTGATCTGTGATCAGTGATTATGACTCACTAGATTACTTTTTAATTAAGTTATATACATTTTTTAGACATTGTTCTCACTTAATAGACCACACCATAGTGTAAATACAACTTTTCTATGAATTGGGAAATCAAAAAATCTGATTCATTTGATTGTAACATCTGCTTTGCTGTAGTGGTCTAGAACCCAACCCACGATATCTTGAGGTGCATCTGGATATCCCCTGTGGGATAAAGATGGTGAAAGAGAACTACCCTCTGCAGACACAGGACCCTGCCTTTGTATATGGTTAAGCCAAAAGAATATCTTGAGAGCAGAGTTCCAAGCCAGGGAGAAATGGAAGATAGCAGATTGCTAAGTGGGAAAGGACATTTGGCCCAAGTAGACTGGTTACACAGTTAAGGAGATGGAAGGAAGTATGGTGTGGTAGAAAAAAAATTCATGTATTTTATGCAATTAATTTAAGTTCAGCCTTACAGATATTAAGGGGACACTGACCATGGTCCAGGCCCATGTGTTGTGTATACAAAATGATCAGGCCAAGTTTCTACCCTGAAGTAGCTTAGTGTTTAATGAGGGAGACCTAAAGTAAATTAGTACAACACTGTGATAAGAACACAATACAGGATTGTCCAAAGAAACAGCACTTTTAGGAAAAACCAGCTAACCTTTGTGCAAGTGTTGGTTTCTTCATTTCTAAAGTGCATACCAGCTCTATCTTGCGGGGTGAATATTAGAGCTGGGCGGGGTGTACCTAAGTGGATGTGCCTGGCCAAGGAGCTGAGGGTGTTCACTGGTCCTGATGTCAGTAACTGTATGACCAGACTGGGTGCTGGCAGAATAGAGGAGAGGCAGCACCTGGTCCCTGGAGTTAGACAGCTGAATCCGACTCTCAGCTCTGCCACTTACCCACTTACCTTGTACAAGTCACATAACTTTTCAAAGCCTTAATTTTTCATCTGTGAAATGGAGAGAAGAGTTTCTATCTCATGGGGTCATTGTGAAGATTGGACAGAAAACCCATGTGAAGCACTTCACCCTCCTTGTCCTCAAGGCCTAGTTAGCACATATCCTTGGCTTCTCCACTCAAGGGCTCCTCGATCAACGGAGCCTTTCATAACACTGTTTCAGTTGGGCCAGGGTGGTTGTAGCGCCTATTTAAACCTAGAAATTCAGGCTACAAAATATCTAGAATATTTCCTTCCTTTAGGTCATTTGTTCATTCAATAGCCATTTATTGAGTACCTATCATGTCCCAGGCATGGTTCTTCATGTTGGAGATCTAGCAATGGACCAAACAGTCAATATCCCTGCTCTCATGGATTCCGGTAGGGTGAAGCAAACAAAACAAGGAAATTTACGTTGGGTCATGCAAGGAGATAAATACAATTGAAAAAAGTGGAGCAAGATAAGGGGGCAGGAGAGCTATAGTTGAAGGTTGGTTTGCCATTTTTCAGAAGATGGTCAGGGAAGGCTTTACTGGTAAGGTGACTTGAGCAGAATCCTGAAGGGAATAGGGGAGTGAGCCACATGGTTATGAGCCACATGGTTATCTGAGTAAGAGTGTTCTGGGAAAGGGAAGAGCAAATGCAGAGACCTTAAGGCAGAGGTGTGCTTGGTCCTTAAAAGAAAAGCAAGGAAGTCAGCGCATCTGGAGGAGAGGGAGCGAGATCAGGTTTAACAACTCCCGTATAAAATTTGTAGCGTAGCTACGTCTGGTGGCATTTAATTCTTGACTTATTTATACCTAAATCAAGCCATTTAATGACTATCCTAATAGGCAGTGTGTGTGTCTGAGACAAAGAGAGGGTGGAGAGCCTTACTCTTTTTTTGTTTGTTTTTGTTTTTGTTTTTTGGTTTTGGAAGAACCTTACTCTTTTTAAATGTCACATTCCCATGGTTACAACTTCCCTCTGAAGGCAAAGTAATCAACAGGAGTTGGTGTTCAAAAGAGGACCCCTCAATCAAAAGGCTCAACAGAAGATAATGAAATTTCTTTCCTGTCTTGTTATAGCTACATGTTATTAAATGAAACAATTAAGGCAGAGAGGCAGATTTTGCTAAACTTTATGGGAAAAAATCTTAATAGACCTTCCTAAAGATGAAACATCTTTTTCTGCAGGTGGTAACTTGCTTTTATAGAGGTGTGCAGGCACAGATACTTTTTAGGAAGTTTGGATACTTCCTAAAGATACTTTAGGAAGTTTTTTAGGAAGTTTGCAGAGAAGCTTGTGTACTGGGTTGGACTAGATAATATGGATTTCTCTTGTTACCCTGAGGCTCTCTGACTCTAAGAAAAATGGTTTCTCAGAGTATTAACAGATGTTATAAGGGAGATACACAGGAGAAACAGGAGATTCAGGTTTGGGGGGGAGGTTCAGGGAAGGTGTCCCTGAAGGGATACTATTTGGCCATATTTTGAGGGAAGACTACAACTTTCAAGTCTAATCAGAGGAGTTTGGAGGAAGGCAGGTGCATTTAAGACCAAAGGAATGTCCTGGTGGAAGGCAAGAGGCATGCAATATGATGGCAGAGTTAGATCTGTGGGGCATTTATAGGGCATGGTAGAGCATGGAAATCTGAGTGAGAGATAAAACTGCACAGGTAAGAAGGGAGCTGCCATAAAGTATTTACTTGCCATGGGGAGGTACTGGATATTTGTCCTAAGGTTGTAAGGATTCACTGTAATAGTTCTAAGAAAAAGGAAATCAGATTTGCATTTTAAAATATTAGCATTCTCACCTAGATCAATTTTTTAAAGGTTTATTTATTTATTTCAGAGAAAGTGTGAGTGGGTGGGGGCAGAGGAAGAGAGAGTCCCTTTGGGGGACTCCATGCAGACTCCATGGCAAGTACAGAACCCAATGTGGGCCTTGATCCCATGACCCCAAGGTCATGACCTGAGCTGATACCAAGAGCTGGACACTTAACTGACTACACCATCTAGGTGACCCTCACTTGGATCAAATTTCTAAGGGACCACAGACATAATTTTTTGTCAGAAGCATCTAACCCGTTAGGCCCAGAGAATGCCTTTGTGTATAGTTCTTATTGACCACTACAGCTCTATTTCCATGGTCAGGACTATAATTTATGAACCTCATGTTCTTTTGGCTCTCTTGGTAGATCTAGATCCAGCAGACAGTTGGACTTAAAATCATGTAACTTTGAGGTTTTATAATTGACAAGAACTTCAGGGTAGAGTAACAGTCCCATGCCAGTATGCCTGATGACACTGGGGAAATTATTTTATCATCCCCTGACTCATAAAACAGATCTATCCATTTCTACATATTAGAGAAGTACCTCTGAGTCTCCCTTGTATGCAAGAGGAAATGTGGGCTAGATCATGATTTGCCCCCGACTGCACAATGAAAAATGGCAGAGCTAAAACTAGAACCCAGAATTCAGGCTTCCCATCTCTACTGCTAGTAAAGCTGTAGTCTTCTCAAATGTTGCTAATTATCTAGGGAGATCTGGGAGGGTCTTCTCCAGGTCTAAGACCTTGAGATACATGAACCACTTAGCTGGAAAGTTCATCTCCCCTTTATACACACTGCCTCACTCCAGAGAGGCAAATTAGAATACAAAGTGCAGACAACGAAAACCACTGGAACTTGTAGGGCTAAGAAGGCATAAAAGGATACAATTAATAATAGTTAGTGCTACCAGGAATATATGCCAAAGGTGATAGAAAAAATTTACTGTCTAAACTTTGCTTACGACTTTCCTTCTATCCTTGTTTACAACCACTTATTATCAATTTTTTTTTCCCAAAAGGGATGTGGTCACTGTCTTATTAGTATGGTTCACTCACAAATTGGAAAGAAGGAGGCAGGTGTTAACTAGGGCCTTTGGTTTTAGTTTCACATATCCTCTGCTCTGTTTCTGAGAATAGGATATAAAACTACCAGGTTAGCACAGCTAGGCCTCCCCTAGGCGGGGCGGGGGAGGGGGCGGGTAAGAAAGACTTTTTACCTTACGTTTTCTTTCAACTTGTTTTTCTTCATTTTAAATCTATCCTTTTCCTTCTTGAAGAATTTCCGCAGTCTTTTCAGTGCTTCTTTTCCATCTAAACTAAGAGGAATCAGAGGATATAAATAACATGGCATTTCAGAGAGTCCTGGAGATGGAAGAGGCTCATGCCAGAACACACCTCACTCCAGGAAGAGACAGGAAATGCCTTAGAAATATCCATGCTCTTCTTCTTTGTTTAGGTACCAATATGAAATAACACATACCAGCTAGCTTTGAAGGGAATTATACTTCAGTACAAATTTTCATCTACCCCAAATGGTCTCTATTTTGAGGATACAAAGCAAGGTCTTCCTTTTAGAGAAGATGAGTTAGGGAAGCATAGTTTATAAACTATACTGGAAATAGGTTTTGAAATTCCTAGCTCCTGAAATCTATGTCATTGACCTTTATTTATTTTTTTTTTAAAGATTTTATTTATTTATTTATTTATTTGACAGAGAGAGATCACAAGTAGGCAGAGAGGCAGGCAGAGAGAGAGGAAGGGAAGCAGGCCCCCTGCTGAGCAGAAAGCCTGATGTGGGACTCGATCCCAGGACCCTGAGATCATGACCTGAGCCGAAGGCAGCGGCTTAACCCACTGAGCCACCCAGGCGCCCCTGTCATTGACCTTTAATTTATTGAATGATGTCACAACAATGGTGGTATATTTACTGCCCAGTTAAGGATTAAAATTCTTCCAGATATGCTCTCAGGTTTTTTAGGGGGTAGGGAGAGGAAATGATACACCCACAGCATCCCACCCAGTATGGATCCCTATTCTTCCCTTTAACCCGCATCCTTCTTGCTTTCGACCATTGCTATCTCATTTCCAAAAAGTGCCCCACTAACTAAAATTGATGAATAATGCCCATTTGAACAATATTCCTGATAACATGGAATTCCAGATATTAAATTAAGCCAAAATCCTAGAGACAGTCTTATTAACTTGCAAAGACATAAGTTAAGTCATAACCATTGATTTCTTCCTGGAACTTCTATGATAGAACTGAAGCAAGTTTTATTGATATTTACTTCTCCTTTCTCACTTATGTCCTAACATAATATGAAAGCCCTGTACTTTGAGAGGTGGACATTTTCTCAAAAGAGGAAGCAATATAATTAAAAATTATAGCATACGATTGTATATAATCACAAGTCTCTTATTCATCACAACATAGTATTAAAATATCTTATCTTTCCTCTTGATGCAAATCTTCCCTAAGGATGATAGGGTCAAGGGAAGGAGGTTGTTTCTTGAACTCTGGTTTTCTTACACTAACAGGGAAATACCATTAGCTATAAAGCTGAGAAAGACAGAAACTCACTCTCTTTTTGGGTAGTTGCTCTTTGTTTTATAGACCTCTTCATACATTTCTTCATTATTTTCTTCTGAAATTAAAAAAATGATTTTCATCTATTATAATGACAATAGTTCAGATTCATATTTCATAAGAAATTACTGGATACCTACCAGGTGCTAGGTATGATGTCAAGCACATGTTTTTTGTTTTTTTTTTAATAAGCATATGGTAAGAAATAATTAAACCTCTATAAAAATATGTACAAAATGAAAATTCATATTGGCTTCCACCTGATTCCAAGTCTGATCTGATGTAGTAAAAGAAAGTGGGTTTTCAAACAGATTTTATCCTTCTACCCTCGTCCTTTGCATATTTCATATAGAACATTCAGAGTCTATTAAACATCACACTCTGTGTTGAAGACTGGGGCAATAATGGAGAAAAAGAAGGCATCTTGAATTATCTGTCCCCTAGCCCAACGCATGAGCTTAAAGCATATAGATACACTTTGAGGCTACCCGGCAATGGAGGATTTTCAAGTTTACAATGTGAGTCACACATAGTGAGCTGAGGAGAGTCCCTTAACTTCTTCTCCATGCCTTAGCTCCTTTCTAAAATGGCGTACTGGATTTCATGATCTCTGAGGTTGTTTTACCATCTAAAAATCTGACATTCTGAGGAAGACAAAAGCAACCAGAGCAGCATTTGATTATCCCTCCTTTATTATTTCTTTATCCATTCACATTCAGTAGGTAGTTTTGGTGTGTCTCAGATGTGCCTGGCATTATGCTAAGGGCTAGGAAAAGTAGCAAGCATGAAGAAAGTAACAATCCAGGAGGGAAGATAGTTATTAATGGAAGAATCGTGTACATACAAAATTATAACTGTAAAGTGCTAAGAGGGAGGGCCTAGGTACAAGGATACTGATGAGACTGTATACCAACGGCAGTATTCCCTGGGGCAATAACGAAGGAGTTGGGATCAGAGGAAATATTAAGAGTCACATGGGCAAAGGAGCCCAGGGGAGGGAAGAAGGAGGAACGCACAAGAACATCCTGTGGTGGAGCTTGGCAAGTCAGAGAAGCTAAAAGGAAGAAGGCAAGAATGGATCTCGAGGGTGAAGACTGAGTATGGTGTGAAGAGTGCTCAATGGCAAGTAGAGGCAAACCACTCAAGGCTCTAGACCATGCAAAAGTTGATCTTAAAAGTATTGGGAAACCATGATTCTGTGTTAAGTAAGCAACGTTCCTGGAATTTAAGAAAGAAAACAGATGGACATATGGGAAGGGGAAAATAAACAAAGGAGAGAGGGAAACAACCCATAAGTGACTCTTCAGGATAGAGAACAAACTGAGGGTTGATGGAGGGAAGTGGGTATGGGATGGGGACTAAGGAGGGTATTTATTATGATGAGCACTGGGTGTTGGATGTAAGTGATGAACCACTGAATCATACCCCTGAAACCAATATTGTACGGTATATTAGCTAACAAAATTTAAATTAAAAAAATAAGCAATCCTATAATCAGACCTGCACTGTGAAGCAGTCAGGAAGGAGGACATTTCACAGTGAAGTTGATTTATTGCCGCAAGAGCCCCATTATTAGCGTCTTCACCTTCATGATTCTAAGTGCATTTGTTAACACATACCTTGGACCACTTCTCCTACTAGCTTATCATCACCCTGTCCGATTGGCATTATTGAAAGTATATATAGATAAAAGACACCTTACACTAATCAGCCGCAGAAGCACTCAGCAATTCCTACTGACAGTTCCAAATGTCTTCTTAAACTTACCATTATCAGAAGCAAATGAGTTAGAAAGGTCTGACTGTGGTCTGCAAGGAGAAAGAATGCAAAGACCATTAACCTGTTGTGTCGTACCTTCAGTCTCGCCACAGTCATCTCTGGTCTCACCACACTTACCCGGCTCTCCCGGGGTACTCAACGTCATCATATGTCTCCTCTGAGTTGGAGTGAGGCTTACAGGCCCCCCCACCTGGCATTTCTGTAGTGACTCCCAAGGCCTCCACATACCCACCTGTAAAGAAAACAGAGAAAGTCCCGAAGAGTAGCTCATCAACTGCTACCATAAATGCATTCGCGTATGCCATGGCGGTGGAGGCGAGAATAGGAAAAGCAGATTTCCTACGCTGAAACTGGGTTATAATCTTGGTATGCACACTTCTTCAGCACACCGCTTCACCTTGCAGAGACTCAGTTATGGTTCTCTGAAGTTGGGACAATAATAACACCAACTCTTATAGGACTGTGGCAAGGATGAATATGTATTTATGAAGAGTGCTAGCCTAGTGACCAGTAAATTTTTTAAAATTATTTTTATTAACATATAATGTATTATTTTCCCCAGAGGTACAGGTCTGTGAATCATCAGGCTCACACATTTCATAGCACTCACCATAGGACATACCCTCCCTAATGTCCATAACCCAGCCACCCTATCTCTACCCTGCTGACCAGTAAATTTTTTGGATGGCTCTTCTCTAATCTCTGACCTCAGAAAGTGAGATCCTCCAGGGTACAGCCCTGGAATTTCTACCTTTCTCTACAGATTTATTTATTTATTTGACAGAGACAGAGCACACACGCATGCATGGGGGGAGGAGCAGAGGAAGAAGAGGGAGAAAGGATCTCAAGCAGATTCCCCACTGAGGGCAGAGTCCAATGATGTAGGGCTCTTTCCCACGACACTGAGATCACAACTTGAGTCAAAACCGAGAGTCAGATGTTCAATTGACAGAACCACCCAGGCGCCTCTTCTCTCTCTTTAAATCTAGATGAACTCATCCAGTTTTGTGGCATTTTTTTCTTCAAATTTCTTAGAGGAGTTGATTGAACATGTTAACATTTCTTATTTCTTAGTGAGGGAATTAGCCAGAAGATGGTGTGCCAGGTTGAAAAATGTACAGGGACTGTTGGCCCAAGAAGCTAGTTGCAGGTGCTGGTTTATTTTACAGAGCTGTAAACTTGTCATAACCATAAAACTGCCACACTTTTATCAACTGGCATGGGTTAATATTTTGAATATTGATTCAGAACCATTTTTGAACTATTAATCAGGAAGAAGAAGGGATACATCTGAGAAATAAGCAATAAGCAAATTGCCTTGTGTCAATTAAATGAACCAAGCAACAAGGTGTTACCCCCGATCAGAAGTCAGTTAGTAGGCAGACCCTGAACCATCTCAAGCATGTCACCTCCTTATTACCCCATAAAGTGCTCCTTTTCCTTAAGGAGTTACCAGTAAATTTCTCCAGCACAAAGCAGAGATGCTAAACACCCAGGTGCTTAATTCCTAGTTCAAGACATTTTTTTTTCTTTCTTAATCCTTCTTTTTTGGCTGCAGCATATGTAAAAGTTTATGGCATCTTTTTAAAAACACAGACAACTCCCAAATTTACATCTCTAACTTAGACATCTTTCACGAATTTTAGATACTCCATCAGCCTTCACACCACTCCCATTTGGTTGTCTAAACACATTATGCTCCAAACCAAACTGACAGTTTCTCTCTGCAAATCTGCTTTTCCTGAAGTCAACTCCATCTCAATAAAAAGTGGCAACCCGTCCTTTCAGTTGTTCGGGTCCCAAACACAGAGACATCTTTGAGTCCCTTCTCTAATTCCAAATGCTATCCTGAATCCAAACGCATCTCAAGTCTACCACGTATGTTCCTCCAGGCTCCCATCATCTCTCTCACGTTACCGCAACGAGCTCCTAACGGGTCCCTGATTTATCCCTCCGCATTTCTTCTTTCATGACTTCAGCCAGAATGATTCTTTAAATACAATCCGATCATTCTGTTCTTGTGCTCAAAACCTCTCATTCATTCTTAAAAATCTGTCAGAGGAAATGCCAGAGTTCTTGGAATGGTCTACAGGAGCCCCCACACTATTTGGCCCGCCCCATGTCATGTCTCTGACCTCATCTCCTACTACACCCTGCTCCAGCCGCACAGCCTTCCTGCTCTTCTGCCCCCACATCTGGGAGGTTCCTGCCTCAGGTATTTGCATGCTTTCTCCCCTCTCCCCAGAACATTCTTACCCTAGACACACTTGGCTCTCATCTACTTGACATCTTTGGAGTCACCTGTGAACAACTTTAAAATTGCAACTGCTACTGCCTCCACTTGCTTGATTCTTTTTCCTCATGTTATATTTTCCCGTAACATTTACTGCCATACCATTCCACAGAGTGGGTATTTCATTATTTGCATATTTACCATCTGTCTCCTCTGATCAGAATGCAACCTTCATAAGCATAGGTATATTGGTCAGTTTGGTCTACCGTTATAACCCCAGCACCTAGAACAGAGCCAGGCACATAAAAGGCACTCCCATATTTTTTAATACTGGATGATTTGAATGCATACATTTTCTAACTAGAGTGTTTTGTGTATTGAGTTAATAATGTTTACTGATATATTAAATTTTACACCTGCTATCTCATTACATACTTTTTGTATGTTCTATTTTCCCCCCTCATCTTCCTCTTTCTTCTTTGTTTTCTGTTTGGACATATTCTATCTTTTAATAGTTATCCTAGTATGTTTTATTTTATTTTATTTATTTATTTGACAGAGATCACAAGTAGGCAGAGGGGCAGGCAGAGAGAGAGGAAGGGAAGCAGGCTCCCTGCCAAGCAGAGAGCCCGATATCCTAGTGTGTTTTAAATTTTAATGGTAACATACAGGAAAAAGCACAAATCTTAAGGGTCAAGCTCAATGGATTTTCCCAAATCTAACATATTCATCTAAAAACCTAACACTGCCAGTGCCCCCGAGCCCTTCCCATGCTCTGTTCTAGTCCTTGTTCCCTCCCACAAGAGGAGCCACCATCGTACCGCCTAATATCAGAGGTCAATTTTGCTCATTTCTGAACTTCATGTTAATAGAATCATTCAGAATGTTCTCTTGGTGTTGCCTACTTCTCTTCAATATTGTGTGACATTCATCCGTGCTGTTGCGTATGGCTGTAATTTGTTCATTCCCGTAACGATTCCATTATGTGAACATGCTACATTTATCCTTTCTACTTTAGATGGACATGTGGATGGTTTCCAGTTTGAGGTTATTATAAAAAGTTCGGCTGTGAACATCTTGTATATGTCTTGGTAAATGGAAGTATGCATTTCTATTGGGTATAAGAATAGGCATGGGGTTGATAGTCATAGGATATGCATATGCTGGGCTTTAATAGATACTGCCAGACAGTTTTCCAAAGTGATTACCCCAGTTACAGTCCCAGCCATGTAGGAGAGTTCTAGTTCTTCCATAACTTCACTAAGAATTGATATTTTTAGTGGTTTTTATTTTAGCCGTTTGGGTGGGTGGGTAGTGATATCACATTGTAGGTTTCATTTGCATTTCCCGGAGACTTAATGAAGGTGAACAGCTCCTCCATAATGTATTTGCCTTTTGAGTATCTTCATGAGTGAAGTATCTCTTCTTTCCCAATGTCTCTCAATTTCTTTTTCTGATTTCTACTTTATATTTTCTGGATACAGTGATGTTTATAGAAGATTGATATATTCCATATTGGAGTCCTTTGTCAAATATATGTATAAATCAAGTAACTTCTCCCACTCTGTGCCTTGCTTTTCACTCTGGTATCTTTTGATGAATATATTCTAGCTACTCTTCTAAAGCTTGCATAAATTACTATACTTACTCACAATTAAAGACCTTAGAATGCTTTGAGTTACCTTCCCAAAGTATGTGCTATTAACGCTCAATATTTTTTCCCCTCTCCATAGTTTGATGTTGTTTTATTCAGTTGACACTTTTGCTATTCTTTCTTATATCCAAAATTCTCCCTCTGGGATCATCTTCTTTCTGCCTGAACTGAACACTTTAGAATCTCCATCAGAAGGTTTTATTTTGTGATTAAAATCTTTTTATTTGTTTGAAAATACCATATTTTTTCCTCCATTCCTGACATGCATTTTTACTAGTTACACAAATCTTGGTAGACATTCAGTATCTTTCAATAGCACTGTTGTATTCAAGTTACACACTCTTGCTTTTGAGAACTCAGCAATCAGCCTGCTTGTTTTCTTCTGGGTGACTGGCCTTTTCCTTTGTCTGCTTTTAAGATATTTTAAGATATTTTCTTATTCTTCAATATCTTTCCATTTCCTTAAGATATAACTAGGTGTGGAGTTCTTTTATGTATGCTGCTTGAGAACTTAAGGGCTTCTGGATGTATAAATTGATATTTTTCAACAATTCTAAAAAATTATCAGGCATTACCTATTTTTTCCTCCTTTCCACTCTTTCTACGATCCTTTCGTAGAACTCTGATTTGATGTTATTTTAAGTCTTCTCCTTTTATCCTGGAGGATCCTTATCCTCTCTTTCATTCTTTCCTATCGTTTCCTCTGTGGAATATATTTTGAATAATTTCTCTAGATTTATCTTCTCATTCCTTAATTTCTTCTCCTGTGTCTAATCTGATGTATAATTAATTTATTTCTATATCAACTTATCAATTTATCTTTTTCAAATCTGTTTATTCCCTGTTCATATTTTTTAATTTTTAAAATATATTAAATATTATGCTTTGTGTTTAATAATTCTAATATCTGTACTATCTTGCAGGTTGGCTCCTAGAGTCTGTTGTTCCACTGGTTTTCATTCACTGTGACTTGTTTACTTGTGTGTTTAGTAATTTCTATCTATGAACTGTTAATTTTTAGAAGTATATATTGTGGAATTATTTAAACCTGGGATAGAAGTTTGTTCCATCAAAGAGGATTTTGTTTGCTTCTACTAGTTGTCTGGGAGAGCTACCAAGCTGATATCACATTAGATTACATTGGTCTTCTTTTGGACCACACATATAGTGGTGGGGATTTGAACTGCTGATGGATATGAGGATCAGCTTATGGTAATCATTCTTTTTTCTTCACCCAGCACCAAGTTTCCTTTGATTACAAGGGTTTATGTTGCATTAATTGTTTTCAACGAAAAGAAGTGATACTTTTATTTCATTCATTTTTCCAAGAGGTCTATTTGCATAGAAGGAGTATAGAAAGACACTCTATTGTATTTTTTCTTCTCAAAACTTTCTGATTTTATGCCCACTGTCCTTGACTAGACATTTTGTGCTACTCAAACAAGTACTGCAAAGAACTATTAATGGACTCAGCAACTCCCTTTGTGCTTTAGCAGCATGTACAGATTACTCAGAATAATCCTCTTTGGACTATTTTCTTCATGGTATAATCTTCAAATCTATAGTGACTTCTCACAGACAGTACACAATTGCATGAAAATAGCTTTCAGCCCCATATTCAAGGCTCTCCTGTAACTCTTTAGTTCACTTCAGCTGGTCTTCTCACTTCTGGTGTTTGTTTATTTTCCCTCTGTATTCCAGATTAAGTCTACCTACTTCTCAATTTAAGGCATGGTTTTTTATTTTATGCCACCTTTGTGCTTTCTCATGTGTTATTAGTATCAAAATGTCTTTTCCTCCCTTTTCCATTTATTTTTGAAAAAATTTGTATTGTGTTCAGAACGCTTGAAATCTTTTTATAACAAATTTATAAGTACACAATATGGTATTTTTTACTATAGGCACAGTCTTATTCATTCTGTGTAGACATAATCCTGTGAGGTCCTGACTTCATAAAGGAGTTCCCAATTATAAACTCACTTGGGGCAGGCCCTGGGATATAGCTCCTGTCCTCTGCACATCACACAGTCAAAACAGGAGCTCAAGAGATTCAGATCCAGTAAAACCCCCTAGGGCCAAGAGTAGCTCTGGCACTCACCTTCCAGGGTTCCTGGTTCCTGCGAGTATATGGATGCTTTCTTTTTACATCTGTTCTGTGATACTTTAATACATTTTCCAAAAATCTATTCTTTACTTTTCTTAGTCAAGAGAATAATTCATGTTGTCAAATCTACCATAGTTTCACTGAAGTTGGATTTATTCTTTTACTCCTTTCTTTAACAAAGTTTTGTTGGGGGATCTCCAGTGTGCCAGACACTGTGCAAGGTTGCAGAAATACAGAGAAAAATACCAAATGGTCTCTGATCACATGGTGCCCACCGTGTACCATGGGAGACAAACACGTACCCCATGTATTATAATGTAAGGTATGCTATACTTTTTTTAGAGAAGGAAATAAATGAAGAGAACTAACAGTTAGTGATCACATGAAATATACACTTTACAAACATTGACAAATAGCCCTGGAAAATAATATCAACCCCATTTGTACATGAAACCCTGTAAGCTTCCTAAGATGATGGGCTTAGTATATAGGGGGCCTGGGTCCCAGAAATGCTTAACTGCAAAGCCTAATATGGAGATGCGGTCACTTGGTTGCTGTTTCAGTGCCACAGAAACAGAAAGAGTGGGGAACTGTGGTCCCTGGGGAGCAGGGAAGAGGAGGATGGACGGAGGTAAGGGAGACCTCAGAAGAAGTGACTTCTGAGATAGAACTTAAAGGATGTCTAGGACATCAGCAGGTAGAGAATTCCAGACAGAGATCAGATGAAATTACAGGGACATTTAAACACTTAAAACAGGATATGCAGAATACAGCAGAGTATACAGGGAAGGACCTGTGAGGCAAGGATATGGCCAGTTAGCCCAGAGGCATATTTTAAGGGACCTGGAGTTCATCTTATGATCACTGCATATTTATTCTTCTTATAACTGATTTGTAACACATGAAATGTCTGTGGTCTGCCAGGGTTTATTGGGCCGGAGTGGATATCTATTTTCTTTGTGTAACCAATACCTATTCCTCTCTGGTCTTCTACTTCTAAATCCAGTGCTCTTTCCAGGACTGCACAACTGCCTCATGAGGGTAAGTTTCCTGGTACATAATAAATGTTCAATAAATATTTATAAAAGAAAGGAACATCTTAGACACCCACAACTTGTAGATCATGTGACGACGGTGAACAGAACCAGGAAGAAAGGCAACTCACAGTGGCCTAGGGAGCGCCTGGCCAGCTTCGGGTCTTGGAGGCAGGCCTTCGTCTGGGCGCCATCGCTCACAGGGCCCTGCTTCCTGGGCAGCACGCTCCTGCGGCCTCCGAGGACTTTCATCACCTGCTTTCTTCCCAGCATCCCTCCACGCGTGGCCCCCTAAATACATGCAATAGGGAGGGTGCTATAGAGCTCTGACTCACCTGCTCCGCTTCCCACTTACTTGTGCTTTTCTTCCGTCATTCATGCTTCACGGATAGCAAGGATTTATTGTGGTACTGAACGCAGTCCCCCTAGACAAAGTTTCACAAGGATGCACACCAAGTCTTTGGCTCACCTCTGAACGGCCACCAAATGCCCAGGGGAGGCAGCCCCACAGGAGGCCGCAGCATGTAACAGAGAAGGTTCTTCAAATATCTTATCTCACCTCATCTCCAGGACCCCCCCACTGGGAAAATATCACTAGTCCACATGATAAAGAGTTTAGAAAGGTTAAATAACAGGTCTCCAAATCCTCTGGTTTCCTAGCCAGTGGTCTACTGAGGCAGAACTTGATTCCTGTGCTCTTGACCACCAAGGGATGCTGTGTTCCTTTCGCCTGATATTTCTTCTGGCCCCCTGTCATTCTGTTCCTCTGTACTTCCTTTCCCACTCCCTCCCTGCAGTGTTGGTCAGACATGAATGCTGAGTTCTGGAGATAGAGAGACACCAAGGGCACGGTGGCCTACACACTGATCACGGAGACAAGACACACAAACATTAAGGTACCACATGGCAAGGGCCATTTGCAGCTGTGTTGTTCACTGAGACAGAAACGGAGGAGGGGAGGTCAGTTCTCTTGGCTGGGAGACAGGGTGGAGGAAGACTTCCAAAGCAGATCTTATTAAAGAGTACTTTAAAATGAAAGGAAGAGATTGACCAAGGGGATAAAGGGACAAATCAGCACGAGCAAACACATGGGTATCTGGAGAAGTTAGGGTCCTCAGATGGGTGTACGGAAGCTGATGCTGAAGGAAGACTGGAAGGGACAGGTTGAAAAGACGAGGTGAGAAAGATGTGACAGAATGAGCCTGAGTCATGCAGGGTCTTGTGTGCAAGGTTCAATGGGGGCCTCACTGAGCCCCAGGCAGCAATCTGAGCAGATGTGCATTTCAGAAAGCTCTGGATGGACTTCCAGGAATAGACACCAAAACCAAGGAGAATTACAGCCTTTCTGGCTATTTATCAGATGATGATAGGAGAGGAGATTATTGTCCTTCCGATGGCAAGTGGACAGGAGCATTGACTATGACAATACATCTGAAAGCAGTCGGAAGAAGCCGAAGTACTTAACAGTTATAAAGTATGGGATTTCCTGAGCTCTTGGTGTGGTCTGGACAAACTAAAAGGAGGGGCATTTTTTTAAGTCACAGAGCCAAGAATGAATTTTTTTTTTAAAGATTTTTATTCATTTATTTGACAGACAGAGATCACAAGCAACAAAGAGGCAGGCAGAGAGAGAGGAGGAAGCAGGCTCCCTGCCGAGCAGAGAGCCCAATGTGGGGCTCGATCCTAGGACCCTGGGATCATGACCTAAGCCAAAGGCAGAGGCTTTAACCCACTGAGCCACCCAGGCGCCCCACCAAGAATGAATTTTTTAATGGGGAAAAATGACAAAGTAATAAGTCAGAGTTTCACACAAATGCCGTGATTGCCTTCCTTCACTGTGGCCCCTAATAAGGCCATGTGTGGGTTCCCCTTGGCCTGTCCTTGGGAATGCTTCCTAGGGTCAGTTTGAATTTGTATCTACTGACGTACCATTTACACCTGACCCCAAACAGCACTGCCCAGCTACACCACCCACTACTTTTACCTAACATAATCCAAATCACCTACAACAATTTCCAAAACTCAAATCCACATCACAAAAGCAGGAATATGTCCCTTTGGTGGCAGCCTGACCCCATACCTGGCTCTTGTCAAATGGCCAGCACTGATAAAGAACATATCCCTGCCTTTGCTCTTTCATGGTCAATGTCCATAACCGTGACTTCCCCATTATCTTTCTCATGCTCCTGATAACCCCTTTCTGATCTCTGGCCCCATCACCCACTTATGGCCTTGTCTGCTCTCTGGCCTCAGGATGCAATGCCCCTTCCCTAATTCTGGTCCCCTTCTTTCACAATTAGTGACTTACTTCTTCCTTGAATTATGCTGCTTTGTGATACTCTATAAACACAGAGTCTTGGCTCTGAACCCTGTGGGCCTACCCACCAGTTCAGGCCCACAACACCACCAAGCTGCTTGATTTTCCCAAGCCCTGCAGCTGGGACTCGAGCAATTTGATATTCTACGATAGGCACATCTCAAATAGGTTTTCAGAATGTTGTGAGCATTACTAGCAGCACTGGTGATATCGATAATTTAAGACTCTGACAACTCTAGCTGTTTTGAGGGGGACAATGTCAATTGGATAGGAGTATACACATGCATATAGTATTTACTAATAAGTAATAATTAAGAATACCTTACATTTTTATGGTATCTCATGGTCTACAAGGCACTTTCACATACATTATCTTATCAACATAAACCAGACAGAATCAGGGTGGGACTGGGGATGGTAATTGAGTAGGGATGATTTGTTCTTCTATTACAGATGAAAAGACTGAGCTCAGAGGTAAGTTGTTCTTCTAAGTAGGGCCCTCAAGCACACACCTTAAGGAGGCCCTCCTTCTGGGGCTGTTCAATTGCAGGGTACAACACCCGAATGAGTGTCTATGTTTTGCCCTCTGGATGCCTTGCTGAACTCATGCTAGACCCAGCCCCACCCCTAAGGCCTGCTTCATGGCTAATAAGTGGACACCTGAGTCTTGAGCTCAGTGTTACTGTCAAGTTCATTTCTTTGAAGAAACATCCAATACCCCAGGGTCTTCTGATGCTGTCTGTAGAGAGCTGCTGTCTCAGGCTCTAAAAAGTCACTCCATGAACTACTCCCATGATATCCCTCAACTTTTACTGTTTGGCCCTGAACCCTAGAACACTGATACCTTGAAAAGATGACTTGAAAGTAGATCTTTTTCTGGTTTTTGAGGTTCTAATTCACATGGCTCTTTTTCCTTCTCCTTTTTATCTTCATCTTCATCTTCATGTTTAGGGCTTAGATGTGAAGAGATAACAAGGGAAAAGTGAGGTTTAGAGTGTTTCGATCATAGTGTATTACCCAATCCTAAAAGAAATGAATGGAAAAAGTGAATGTAAACAACTGAATAATTCCTCTTCTCCCCCTACCTTCTTCTAAGATGAGGATCAGGTCAACCCACTAGATCATTTCACTGAGTTTCTACCCTCTCCAATCAATGCCAGAAGGAATCCCTGCTTAAAATCTCCTAGGAACTCCCCATTGCCTATAGGCTAAAATATAAACCCATCGTGTTGTGATCACAACCTTTCTTTCCAACCCCACCTCCCTATACTCCTTCCCTCAACTTTTGCTCTAGACTCACATTCCCCAAACCAACCATCCTGGTTCGAGCAACTCTCCCTTTTTAGTTGCCATTTCCCTTGACAGACATGCCTTCTGCATCTTGATGGAGAACATCAAACCCTTCTCAATTTGTCTGAATCATCTTACTTCTGAGAATCCTTCCCTGATTCTCCCAGTCATACCTTCTTATCTGCTGCCCCAACACTTTGTCATTCTATTTGTATTATAAAGCACTGTTTATAGATCAGCCTCCAGTTCTTCCACTTTGCCTTGTAAACAAACAATCAAGTTATAAAGCAGCGGAGCTCTGCTATTTCTATATGTATTCCCAGCACCAATGCTGTGTGATCTAGAGCAGCAACAGCATGGGACCTGAGGTCCAAGGAGAGAATGCTGAGGAATCATCAACCCCCAAATGAGGACTTCTGTTCTGGCACAGTGAACTAGACTTACAACCACATTCATATGGAAGGCAGAAAAAGAGGAGCCCTCAAAGAAACTCAGAAGAGGAGGTCAACAAGGGAGGAAAAGCACCAGAGACAGTACTGTTCTGAAAGACAATGGAAAGAGTTGTCAGGAGTTTCATTCATTCACGTAATTACTGAGCACCGTGCCCACCAGTAAGGCCATCTGCCAGTTCCATGATGATCAGAGGCAATGAGGGAGGGCTGGCTTTTTTTTTTTTTTTTAAGATTTTATTTATTTAACAGAGGGAGAGAGATCACAAGCAGGCAGAGCAGCAGGCAGAGAGAGAAGGGGAAGCAGGCTCCCTGCTGAGCAGAGAGCCCAATGTGGGGCCCAATCCCAGGACCCTGAGATCATGACCTGGGCCAAAGGCAGAAACTTAACCCACTGCACCACCCAGGCGCCCCAGGAGGGCTGGCTTCTAATCCCCACTATATATCCCTCTTTCTGCAAGTCCATGATTAACCTTTCTATTAAAAAAAATCATATTTTCTCATTCATAAATGAAAGGTCACAATGCCAATGTCCATGTTTACCAGGAGAATGAAATGTGAGAAACTGTTGAAATCTCAGCATTGTTCAGAGCACATAATGGACCTGCAGTAATTGTTGGGATCCTTGTCTTCATGGAAGCATTTGCAGTGTTAGAATTACCCAGTTCTTATTCCTCATGGCACATTGTTGGTATTTCTCCTAAAACATAAATACTTGTTGATGTACATGCCCTTGGTAATCCATCTTAACTTGTCAGGTCTTGTCCAGTAACTTATAACTGGATCTTTATAAGTAATTATCAAATTAAATTCAATATGGTGACTATGAGGAATACTATGAGGGGATGGAGTACGTTATCTCTGCTTTGAAACTCTTTGTGGGGCGCCTGGGTGGCTCAGTGGGTTAGGGCCTCTGCCTTCGGCTCGGGTCATGGTCCCAGGGTCCTGGAATTGAGGCCCGCGTCGGGCCCTCTGCTCACCGGGGAGCCTGCTTCCTCCTCTCTCTCTCTGACTGCCTCTCTGCCTACTTGTGATCTCTCTCTCTGTCAAATAAATAAATAAAATCTTTTAAAAAAAAAAAAAAAGAAAGAAAGAAACTCTTTGTGGCTCCCCCTGACCTAGAATATAAAGTCTAAATCTGTGCTCTCCACCTGCGGCCACTGTCCATGTATGGATATCATGCATTCGAAATGTATCCGGTCTAGACTGAGCTGTAAGTATAACATATATTTGGATCTTGAAGAATTAGAGAAAAAAGACTATAAAATACCTCAGTAATAGTTATTATATTGATTACATGTCAAAATGACAATATTTTGGATATACTGGGATTAATAAAACACATAATTAATTTCACCTGTTTCTTTTCACATTTTTAAACTTAATTTAATGTTATGTTAGTCACCACACAGTATGTCATTAGTTTTTGATGTAGTGTTCCACGATTCACTGTTTGCATATAACCTCCAGTGCTCCATGCAATCCGTTCCTTCCTTAATACCCACCACCAGGTTCACCCATCCTCCATCCCCTCCCCTCCAAAACCCTCAATTTGTTTCTTGGAGTCCACAGCCTCTCATAGTTCGTCTCCCTCTCTGATTCCCCCTCATTTTTCTCTTCCTCCTCCTAATGTCCTGCATGCTATTCCTTGTGTTCCACAAATAAGTGAAACCATATGATAACTGACTTTCTTTGCTTGACTTATTTCATTTAGCATAATCTCCTCCAGTCCCGTCCAAGTTGATGCAAAAGCTGGGTTTCCTTTTTACTTTTTAACATTTGGCTACTAGAAAAATTTTAAATGACATTTGTGCTTTGCCTTACAGTTCCATTGGACGGGGCTGGTCTAATTGTAAATTAGGGGGTGCAGGCCCTCCTGGACCCAGCTCTGCATACTCCCCATGGCTTTGTTCCTTCTGCTTCCACACTGCACTTCATGCTCATGCATGATCCCTGTTTGGGGAGTCCTTGACCGACCTCATGTCTTTGCTCATACTTTTCCTTATGCCTAGAACAATCATTACGACAACTCCTATAGGTCTTTCAAGATTGAATTCAGCTGTCAACTCTTCAAGACAGTATGCCCAGGGCCTCATCTCTGTGTTCCTACAACTACTTAGCAGTGATTATATTGTAACTTCCTACTGAGATGATCATTTCCCCCCCTCCAAATAGCCCCTTTCCCCCATCCATTCTAGCCTCCATGCCCATCTGGAACCAAGGGCAGAGAATATACTCCATTCATTTTTGTATCTCAGAATCTAGCAGCATCTGAAGAGAGTAAAATCTCAATAAACACAGAATTAACCATGTGACATGTACCTCTCAAGTGCTCAGCACCATGCTAGATGCTAGAGGGTAGATACGGGGGGCATGAATCGAGGCAGACCAGAACTCAAGGACAGACATGAACCATGGTTTTCCCCATGATCCACTGCTTAGGTGTTTAACCTCGGCCAGGGAATTCTGATACTTGCTTCTCTAGACTTCACCATGTTTCCTCTAATGCATTAAAAGTACCTCCAGGGGAAGAATGATAGACACAGACTCTGAAGAGGAGGGTCAGAGCGCAGCCTTGCCAAGGCCCTGCTTTGGATCCAGAAGTATGAGAGGTGTCAGGAACACCAAAAACGAGAAACACAGGCCCTTCTTATAAGGAGCTCACATACAAGAAGCAGGGAAGGGAAGGAGAGTCAGGATAAACTGGCACATTAGCAAACAAATGACATGCAGTGAGGTTAGTGCAAACTTGTGTACCTTGGTGGGGGTGGGTGGGAGGGTCTGGCTACTTCTCTTTGAAGGAGGGGAATTAGGAAGGCTTCTTACAGGTGGGAATGTTTGATGGTCATTAGATATTTACCGGATCGTTAAGTTAGAATGAACTAATGAATTAAGGCAGTGAAGGCACAGAGATTTGAAACAGCATGGTGCATATTGGAAATGAAGTTCTTTGGCAGTCACATGATGGTTATATGCCTACTTGACTGTGTGATTCCCACAGACCGGGAGCCCCTGAGGGTAGCGGCCGGGTTGCCATCACTGCTACTCCCCCAGTGGTTAGCAAGTGGCTAGCCCATGCTGGAGACTCAGTAAGTGTTTACCGATGAGGGTGGTGTGGGCTAGAACAACCAGGAGGGAAAGGCCAGGCAGGACCCTCGAGCACCTTCTCTGTACCAGGTACCTTACTAGGCACTGGGGAAGTTGAACCAGCTCAGTCTCTGAAAACATATCTGACCCATCTAAGAAAACTGGTTCAGTCAACAGAGGTTGGACTAATGCTTTCCCATTTGAAGATAAAACTCACCTAAGTTCTTGATGGAGACCATTCTTCCAAGGCTGAAAGTAAAGAGGGAAATGGTCATTTTCATAAATCAATCCAAACCATGCCTTTGATGTGTGACTACAGATCATTAGAGACTTAACCAGAAGACCAGGTAGGTGAGGTCTCAGGACGGAGCAAAGGTAGACACTGACAACAGAAACTTCCAGAAACCCTGGCCAGTGGAACTGAAGGTCAGTGGAAAAGGAAAAGCAGCATGCCGGAGGGAATATATAATCTAACTTAGAAGAATAAATTGTTTTCTGCATGCTTTTCCAGGAATGTGTTTGCAGAATAAAGTTTTCCATCATTTGGGGAAATACACACTTGGGCTATCAGAGCAATGTTTCAGTGGGCAGAATCGGTAACACAAATGTGTAAGTCATGCTGGGAATTCTCCCTGGCTGGTCACACACCCCCTGATCCCAAATTCACTCCCAGACGATCTAGATTTGGCTCCATTAAGATTATGTCCCAGTGACCACAACATAACTCTTTGATTTAGTCATCACATAGATCTGATTCATCATTTTGAATCTAGACAAAAATGTTGAAGAAAACAGAAAATAGCTAAGTTTTGAACATGCTGTGACCAAGACCAGCCTAAAAGCTCATTTGCCCTCCTTTGAGGAGGGCCCCACAGGCCTTCAATCAGGGACGACTGGTTCTTATCTCCTGTATAATTCTAACAACATGGATGGTAGAGTGACAGGTCAGATGGACCCCTGCTGCATTACTGACAGGTTGCTGAACCTCTCTGAGCCTCCAGTCCTCACCTGTAAGAGGCAAGTTGTGATACTAGCTCACCAGGGAACATGGAGGATGAAGTGCCCCACCTTTGCATGAGTGCCTGACATGCAACAAGGTCTTGGTACAGAATTATCCATGTGAAAGACTCCCTGCTCAACACAAAGATATTGATAGAGAAATTGAAACTGTCAGAGAACAGGAAACAATGACAGCAGACAGACTTGGGGTTTGGTGGAAAGACAGCTAACTCTGAACACCTAACAAAGGCCTAACATCATCTTTGTTTTTTCTTTTTTTTAAGATTTAGCACAAGTAGGCAGAGAGGCAGGCGGAGGGAGAGGGAGAAGCAGGCTCCCCGCTGAGCAGAGAGCCTGATGCGGGGCTCGATCCCAGGACCCTGAGATTATGACCTGAGCCGAAGGCAGACACTTAACCGAATGAACCGCCCAGGCACCCTAAGGGACTAGCAGTGTCTTATAAAGAAGAGCGTGAACTGTAGCCGTTCAATCCCTTATGTTACAGAGGATTCCATGTCATGAAGACAGGGTAAGATCAGATTCCACCTGCCGAGACAAGAATACGGAGATGAACGCAATACATGTCTGAAAGTTAAGATTTAAAATTTAAAAATATGTTTTTAAATTTTAAAGGAGTAATATATTTTTAAATTTTAAAGGAGTCTGCTGGAGATTCTCCCTCTCTTTCTCCCTCTGTCCTTACCCCCACCATCTCTCTCTCTCTCTCTCAAATAAATGTTTTTAAAACATGTTAAAAATACTTTTATGTCTTTTTCCCTTTTGAATGGGATAAACTCTAGTTATTTACAGAGTTTACTTATACAGAAAAGTTTATTATTTTGGAGATATTGCCAGATAATTGAAGCATTTTAATAGAATGTTTCTACTTTCATTAATAAGAATAATCATTTATAGTTTTCTAGCTAGAAAGTGTACCACAAATGAACAGGCCTTTCCAGTAGGTGTAAGAAAACAAGCAGAAAGATGAAAGATCTGGACTAAATGAACTCTGTGAGAAACAAGTGAACCTTCATTGACCAAGCTGAAACATGAGGGGAGGCCCTACTGTGTGCCAGGCTCTGTATTGGGAGCTTAGCTACTTTGAGTTCTCTCAGCAACTCAGTGAAACAAGTACAAACCCCCTTATTTATTGAGCATCTACTACAGCAAATGTGGTTGCCACAGGGCATCTGCTTCCTGCCCTCACAGAGAAGCCGCCATTTTCCAGAAGACCCAGCAGGAGCCCAGAGAGGCAAAATGTCTGGGAAAGGTATGGGCATTTACCATCACATGGGTTCCCTGAATTTACCTCACTCTCGTTTCCACAATGACCCAGACGTGGATACTTCTACTATCTCTATCTTACAGGTGAGGAAATGGAGGTTTGAGATCACAGGGTCAGGTGCTGGGACTGGGGCCAGCAGGGACTCTGCTTGGGCTCTAATCAAGTGGCTCCAAGGGGCACCTTGCACTGTGCCCACCAGGAGCCAGAAAATGTGCCTTCAGAGGCAGGCCATCCTCCAGAAAGCTCAGGAGGTACAAATTTGGCTTGGGCCACAGCACTCCTCTCTCTGAAGGGACCGTTATTAAAGGCCAGCTGATGCTGTTCGCCACAGATAACGGGCGGGAATGGATTAGGGCCAGCTTCTCCCTCCCCCGCAACACCACTTTTTCTATCTCTGTTATTACAGGAGACAGAATCTTAGCAGCTGGAGTCTTGGAAAAGCCTCAGAAATTGGGAGAAAACCGAAAACAAAGACCTCCCTCCTGGCTCCTAAAAGAAACCACTCTACTGTCAATTCTGCATACCTGTTGTAGTTATGAAGTTGGTAAAAAGAGGGAACAATACCTTTTGGGGTTCTTCAATTTCGACTTCATAAGTTGCTAAAATAAACATGAAAAAAATGATGTCAGAGGCCATTTATTCACCCGTTTCTTACAGCACCCAGGATTCAAACAATTATGCAGGACGGCAGAGTTCAGTTTTCTCAGCCTCTGGAACAAGGAACGGTGTGAGGCTTTGTCTGTGTGGGGAGTTCTCGGGTCACTGACCATGGCTTTTATCTCTGTGGGGATTTCCAGGATGGAATGTATGGTCAGTGAAAACATGTGAAACAATTTTCAGTTTCCCGTTTCAGTAAATAGATATACATACTCCATGCTGAAGAGACAGCACTGAAATTTAGTGGTTTGCAGTCAGAAGGGGAACATGAAAGGGAAAGGAGAGGAAAAAAGCCCCCCTCCAAAAAAGAAAAAAAAGGAAAAGAAGAAAAAAAAGGAAAAAAAAAAAAGAAAAAAAAGAAAAAAAAAAAAGCCTAGATCCCACTTCAACAAAATTAAGTCCACAGCACACTCATAAGTGTTTTTGTTCCTTAACTGTTCTGTTTCCCTAGCACAGCTTGAAAAGAGGAGACTGGCCACCAACTGAGGTTTGAATTCCTTTTGGATTTTTTTCTGATCGTTCTGTGGATTTTATTGAATGATGTGACACTGACCTTCATTAATAACAAACACAAGTAGTGGCAAGAATGTGGGTTCAGAGCCCAGTCCTGCCGCTTCCTACCTGAGGGACTGCAGACAAATTACTTCATTTCCTAGAGTCTCAGTTTGCTCACTTGAGAAATGCAGTCAATTAGTACCTGCCTTATACAGTTAATGGGGAGATTAAAGGAGATGATGTAAAAAAATGGGACATGCCTAGCAGAGCCCCAGATATTGTATAGAAAGTGATGGGTTTTTGATAAAATTACTTATTTGATTTTTCTTTGCTGAAATGTCATCTCTAAAAGTTTCCCCCTACAGTTAATGAATATGCATGCATATTAAGTAGGACTCCCCCTGTTTTTCTTCTCTTTCTTGCTGCTAGGTTCCTGAAGCTGTAGTTTAGAAAAGTGACCAAGAAACATGTTGCATTTTTTTTTTTTTTAAGTAGGCTCCATGCCCACTGTGGGGCCCAAAGCAGAGCCCAATCTCATGACCCTGATATCAACACCTGAGCTGAGACCGAGAGTCAGATGCTTAACTAAGTGAACCAGCCAGGTTGCATTTCAAGGTCATTGTTATTCGACACATAAAACCATTGATAAAACAAATGAAATCTTAGGTTTTCTTTAGGCACTGCCTGTACACGATTGCTTGACACAAAGACCTAAAATTCTCCGTGGATGATTCATACCATGCACTTCAACTGGAGCCATTGTACACTTTTATTTTTACTGATTTTTTAATCAAAATGTATTATTTTGCCAGTTTACTTTAAAACCGTTGTTTAGCTATTAATACACAATGAATATTTGTTTATGGTGCAGTTTGCTCCATATCCATTCTAAACATGGGTTTCTTTTCCAATTTTAAAAATGATAATCTCCCTCACTCAATTGATGTATCATTCTTTGTTTTACAAAGAAATAACACATCATGATCTTTTTGCTTCTCATTGTCACCTGGGGAGAGGGGAGATATTATTCTTAGAAATGAGGAAACTAAGGCTCAGAGGAAGCTTACTTGTCAAGGCTAGTACACAAAAATACACACTGAATTAATAATGCATTCGTAACTTGATTATGATTTTTTTTTAAAGATTTTATTTATTTATCCGACAGAGAACACAAGTAGGCAGAGAGGCAGGCAGAGAGAGAGAGGAGGAAGCAGGTTCCCCGCCGAGCAGAGAGCCTGATGCGGGGCTCGATCCCAGGATCCTGAGATCATGACCTGAGCCGAAGGCAGCGGCTTTAACCCACTGAGCCACCCAGGCGCCCCTTGATTATGATTTTTTTAACAAACCAGACGTTCTCCAAAGTTTTGCCATCACAACTTGCTCCCATGGAAGGAATATAAAAGACAAAGGATTCTACTCCATGGGGTCAGGAAAGGACAGGGACTCATAACTGGAGGATATGTCCCACAGCACTGGAGCCCATTCTCTCCACTGACTAGCTTTGTTCCAGCTGGGGTAAAAGGACACTCATCACAAGATGGTCCTCAGTACCCTCCAACTGCTGGCCCCATAACATGACCACAGCTTGCAGGCTTTTTCTCCAAGTACTAACTCGCTGTGTGACCTTGGAAAACTAGGAGGCAAGAGCACTGTTACTAATAATATAAAAACAATAATAAAAAGCAACAAACATTTTTTATACTTACAAATAGTAGGAACTGTGCTAAATGTTTAAATGCATGACCTCACTTAATTCACCCAGTGATCGCTACTGACACTGGCATTTCACCCATGAGGAGGCAGATGCCCAAAGAGTAAAGTAACTTGCCCAAGGTCACTCCATTAGCAAATGGCTTTCAAACTTCCTCCCAGCTACAGAATCATTCGAGTGGAATATTGCCCACGGGCACACATAGAACTTCTCTGGTTGATGTCATGCTCAAAGTCTCCAGTACCCCTCAGGACCACCCTAGGGCCTAGGAAGCACAGTCTGAATGGGTAGTCTAGATGACCTCTGAGGACAATTCTGCAGAACTTCCAGAACAGCCTAAATCCTGCTTACCCACATTCTATATAAAAGGGCAAAGCCTCAGAAAGGCACCCATGCTGAACTATGCACCCCTAAAGGGATGGTCTTTGCTTTCCTGGCATTAAGGGACAATGGTGACAGTGAAAGCTAACCACCTCATCTTTCCCATTGTTTTCCTCCCTCCCTCTCCCCATCTCCTCCAGAAAGGTAATACTTGGATTCCTCACCCTTGGTGGGCAGAGAATGAAAGATGGATCCCCTTTGAGTTAATCTTTATAAAGATGTGAGACTTACATTAAGATTGATTGATGGATTGAATGATTTTTATTTATGGCTATTCAACTGCTCCAACATCATGAAACGCAATGTTTCCTCCATTAAATTTCCTTTTACAATTTTATAAGGGAGAATATTTTTTTCTATATGCAGTTTTTCAATCCATAAACATGGTATATCTCCCCTATTTATGTAGGTTTCCTTTGAATTATTTCATCAGCAATTTGTAGTTATCAAATTTAAGTCTTGTAACATTTTGTTAAACACAAGTTAATTTCTTTCTTTAGCTTTTGTGAATGTTGTAGTATTTTTTGATTTTAGTGTGTTCATTGCTAGCATATAGAAATAGAATTTTAAAATTCTATTTTGTATCCTGTGACCTTGTTGAACTCATTTGTTAGTTCTAAGATTTTTTTTTTTTGTAAATTCCCTGGGATTTTCTTTTTTTATTATTATTATTAAATTTTATTTTTTATAAACATATAATATATTTTTATCCCCAGGGGTACAGGTCTGTGAATCGCCAGGTTTACACACTTCACAGCACTCATCA